AAAAGAAAAGTCAACCATCATTGGGCCCACAAGATAGTGCCACGTAGGTCGAAAAGGAGTAAAAAATTATTAATAAAATAAGTTCAGGGGGTAATAGAACCTTAGTATAGTATAAGTGTGTCTCTGAGATTTCGGGCATAGGTTGAGGGGGTACTTGGGCATTATCCCTTTATTTTATACAAAAACCATCAATGTTTTGAGACAAGAACAAGGATCATAACTCTTTTTGGCAAATCATTAACTGACTTTTAAACTATGACAAAATTGTGGCTTAGTAGTGAAATATTCTTAATTTTACTTGGAGATATCGATATACGGTGAGTGAAAATAGTGAATTTTCTTTTTCACGTGATATATTTTTTAAAAAGAGAGTGTAATATCCACACCATCACATATTACTTAAGGTGTGATTCTCAAACTTGAGTGATCGTTTAAATATGTTTCTCACATTCTCAATTATTTATGTATGAAAATTTAAAAAAAAATGATAATTGAGGTGTATTTTTAACTCTTTACACTAATTATTTTTATATTTCATAACACAGTATTTTAAATGTGATTTTTATAAGTGATTATCTAATAAAAATGAACGTACATAAACTTTATTCCTACTTTAAATAAGATCTATTGATTTTTTCTAATAAGAAGTTTGGCTAAAAAAATATCATTTCAAAATAGATTTTAAAAATTAGAAGAGTAAAAATTTATGATGAAAAAATTGTGGGCACAACTGGCACCTAATGCCAAAACTTAGGTCTGAGCCGACTCTGTTAACCATTTGCTAACGGTGCATGACAGTGACACATGGTTAAGAAAAATAAGTATGTCTCGGCTTAAAAATAAGTCATCGACTTGCAGGGCATAATACATAAATATACTCTTTAATTTGGATTTAAATTACATTTATGTCCTTCAATTTTGGGAGTGCACAAGCAGACACTTAAACTTGTATAAAATTAAACAAACAGACACGCATGTCCTACATGTCATTTTTTGTCCTAAGTGGTGTCCTATGCGTATTGTGTCATGTAGGACTCATGTGTTTATTTATTTAAAAGTTGAATAGTTAAATTGTCTGTTCGTGCATTATTAAAGTTGAAGGTCAAAGTTAAAATTTGAAGCCAAGTTTAGGGTCCAATATATGTATTATGCCATTATCTAAATACCCATATTATCCCTTACCTAGATCACATGTTGACATTATCTGAACTGTCTTGATGCAGATGTGTCATGAACTAACGCAAATATGATTAAACTTTCTTTAAGATCAATAATGTCTCAAGAGAGATCGAATGAATTAGCTATATTATCATTTGAGAAGGAATTATTAAAACAAATTGATTATAAAATAGTGTTGAATGACTTCGCATATAAAATAGTTAGAAAAGTAGATTTTAAATTAAAATATATATCATGAAAAAAAACTAAATATTAAGGCCCCTCTCTTAAGTTTCGCTTAAGGCCCCCAATGTTGTTAAATCGATCGTGGAGAGAGCGTATTTTTTGCAAATTTTGGAGAAAAAATACAAAATGATGCGTATTAATAGGAGAGAGGCCGGCAAAAGAGAGAGGGGGGAGGGGGGAGGTAGGAGACGTAAGCGAGAGAGGGGAAAGGTTTGCTATAAAAACAAATTATTGTTCTTTCATAATATTTTTAAACTAAAGCTATTTTCCATTTTAAAAAGTTACTAATTTTACTAATTCCATAATTTTTCCTTGGTCAAATACCAACATCTTTGCAAATATTGAGAAATTTTATGCTATCATAAGCGTTTCGAATTTCTTTAGAGATTCTCCTAATTAGTAAGGAAAGGAGACTTTGAAAATCAAAATCAAAAACCCAAAATCAAGAAAGTGAAATTCCTTATAGCTTTACTATGAAAAACTAATAGCGGTTTTGGAAATAGATAGAAAATTTTGTATGGAAGAAAATAATGTTAGATTTTAGAGTGCTTTCTTTGAATCTAACCAAAAAAAATTGATAAATTTTGACATTTTGTCAATTGTGTGAGGTCCACAATTAAATATAATATATATATATATATATATATATATATATATATATATATATATATATATATATATATATATATATATAAACTGACAAGTGTATGAGGTTTAGAATAAAGAACCAAAATGATTATTATTTGTTACGCATCAAGGACTAATTCAATAAAGTGAAATATATCAAGGACCAAAACGAAGCAACCTTTATACTTCAAGAACCATTTTGATTGTTTTTTCTAACATAAACTAAAGGGAAAAGGGTCTTATATACCCCTCAACTTTGTCATTTAGAGCTGGTATACCCCTCGTTATAAAAGTGGCTCATATATGCCCTTACCGTTATACAAACGGCTCACATATACCCTTG